AAGCAGTGGGACCTTGGCAATGGCACTGCAAAAGCCTATTTGCCTATCCATGAGACTGTAAGTGTATAACCATAAGCACTGTTTGAGTTTGCATACAGACCTAAGCACTGCTATCCTATCCTCAAATAAATGACAAAATTCACAGGCAGTACAGGCAGTCAGCCACTGACACATCAACAGCTGTTCAAATCCCCCACAGTAGTGTTACTCCACTTCAAAGAAAAGTATCTTTAAGTAAGAATTGCTCCCAGTGATTTTAGTTGACTTCAGAGACAGTAGAGTTCACTGTTATTCCAGTCTCTGACTGTACCTGTACTGCATTTGTACCTGCTTTTAATAAGAAGTCAAATATTCTGGCACAGAATCACATAGAGTGTGGCTTTTGATTTCTTCCTTTGCAAGCCTACACCAGTCATCGGAGAGTCTTGTGTACTTTGAACCTCTTTCTGATTTTCCATTGCTACTCAGGTACTAACTATAGGAAGCTCTATCAAGGAATCTACACATGGTTTGAGATCTCCACAGCGACTCCCATGTCTTCTTACTAAGTAAAGAGGTGACTACAATCCTGTGAGAGTTCAGACATTTTTTCCCATTTCTTTCACATTATTTTGTACTTACTAACATTATGCTTTCCAAGCTACTGAGTTACATGTGCTCCATTCACTAATTAACATTTCCTTCTTATTCCAAACTCCTTTCTCCATTTCTTCTAAGGACATTTTATTCCTATATTTGTATTCCCTGAATCTCTGCTCTAGTAAATGAAATCTTTATATCTCTGGGTATGTTTTCTCTGGTTTATAACCCTAGTAAGTAATCTCTCATTTTTGGGACGGTAGCTCAGTTACCTCCCAATGCCTTGGAGGTAGACAATTCCTCCTAATGCCTTAAAGGACTAATTCACTCTGAAGTGAAATCAGCTCTTGTGGAATGTAATAACTGGGTAAAAAGACATTTTGTACATCAGTCCAATATGTACAAATTAAAATTATATTACAAACCACATGTATGGTTTTATTATGTTATCGACATGTTTATATGATAGTTATTTGTAGTACACTTAGTCTTCCTTTGCCTATCTCTAAACATTTAAACCATCCCTAATCAAATTACTAATAATATTTTTTAACATTTAGGACTGTAATAATAAAAAATATTTTGGGGGTTTGCTCTAACATTTTGAATTTTCAATTAAGAATATTTTTGTTGCTTTAGAGTCAGTCTGTATGTAAAAGATATAAAACCCATCCCACTAGCTACATCCAAAAAATTTTTAGTTACTTTATAATTTAAGGTCTGACTCATTTTGAGAGAAGACAGCTTGTGTAGCCTCTATGTAAAACACTAGGAGAAGCAGAAACTTCAATCTGTTCTCTTTATAAATTTGTTTATTCAGAAAGAAGCTTTGAAATAAAAGGCTTTGAAAGGCTGGCAGGCTTGCTGAACAATGAGTTGTTATATTTTGAAGGCATATTATCTTTAAAAATACAAGAAAACCTGAAGTGTTTCTAATGAGAGAACTCGTATTTTTGAAAGGAAATAAATGGAAGAGTTTGAGAGGATATTTTTGTTGTGATTTTTTTTTTATTTCCTCCTGGGGCTGCCTGTTGCTCTTATGGGGAAGTTTCCTGCTGATTTGACTTTCTATTCTGCTGTGAGACTGATGCCAAGATTTACATGATTGCTGTGGATAGAAACTGGATTTAGCATAAGGAAGATAACTGCTTTTCCCCTAGGGAGAGACAGAAAAGGGAAAGACAGAGTGGGGCACATAGACAATATTATTTGAAGCTATATTCTTGGTCAATTACTTTATTCAGCCTCTATTTTAGGTTATGCTGCAACTAATAAAAAGCAAGAAAGCTACTGGTCTCAAGCCAGGAACAAGATAAAGAAGTAAACTCTTTGTAGTTTAATGCAAATGTCCAACTATAATGGAAGCAATGTACTGGTTTTATATAGAACTGTCATAGCACATCTTGTAACATAAACGTAATTAACAAAAACTCTCATCAGAATTCGCTGGGTGGTGATTTGCCCGATATGTGGAGTCCTTCAGCAGAGAGAAAAGAGTGAGTGTAGAACTGTGCATCGTTACAGTTATTTTAGCAATTCATTGTCTGTACAGTCTTTTGCACATTCTTTAATTTTGAATTACATGCTCTGAACATTTAAACAGGGGTTAAGATTTTTGTTTATAAAGCAGGTTTGTGCAACCTGAAATCATTTCCAGCCAGTTGGCAGACTGTTATCTTCTGTCAACCTACAGTACCTATGGAAAATGCAATCTTTTGAGATACTGAGAAAAGTTTGCATCACAATGCAGGAAACTTCAAAAGCAACACTCCACAGTAAGCACACAAGAAATACTGTGGGTAGAAGGCAGTTTGAGGGAGTTTGGCACTGAGAGGGTATAGGTTTTCAAATGTAATTATTAATAGATCATTTAACCAAATTTTAGTAATTTTTCTAATTAAATAATATACACCAAATAAATTAAATACCATAATGAGTCAGTAATTGAACAAATGAGAAATAAATATTATCTACTTGATCTAAAAGTTTAAATTAAGTAACTGGAAGATAGTATCATATTACTGAGGTAAATAGTCTGGAGTTCCTGAACTAGATGTATATAATAGAAAGATGGGTAAGAATTAATTTTGTTCCCTTTTTGTTCAGTTAGTTACAAGACAAGCTTCCTGCAGTTTAGAAGTTTATCTGAGCACCCAAATTCTTAGTGAACTCACCATTTTACTGAGACTCTCCTGAACACAGAATTATTTTGGAGATAAACCTAATAACCTGATACATAGCTAAAAAATTACCATGAGGGTTATGGTATAGACTCATTAGCATTTATCTACTTTCCAAAACCATTTATTTTCTTTTCAAAACATGGTAAATTGAGACTTGATTCGGGGTTTTACATTTTGCCCCCTCTGCTTTTAGAGTGGAGTGTTGACGTAGACTTTTTTGTTTCAAAACCTCTTATTTGTTTTACTCTCTTCTGCTATGTCACATTTCACTTTAATTCCTCTTGCATGGGGAAGAGAGCACTAGAGAACAAGAAGTGTCTTATTTCTCCCCTCTCTATTTTTCACAGTTGGCTAATGAGATTTCTAACGATGAAATTCAGGGCAAGGTGCCTTACCAGAAAGTTCAGTGTGAAGTCCAACCTCTGTGAACTATTTTGACCTTCTACAAATCAAAAGTTGTAGGTCTTTAATCAATAATACCCATATCAGTTCAGAAATTGTGTGCAAGCATACAGAAAAAAAATGGCAGTTAAAGAACTTTGATGATAGAATATTCTCCTTACTCTAGACACATTGTTCCAAACTGTAATTAACAAAAACTTTTTAGGTACCTAATTAAGATTCTACATGAATAGCTTAGAAATGTTGTAAGACTGAAAGTTTTTCTGAAAACAAGAGCCTTGACTATTGTGTGTGTCTACATGTGAGAAAGTTTATGCAGGTACATACATATACATACATACATACATGTATATATACTGTAGAATGAACACATTTTTTCATATGAATTAACTAGCAGGGCAGCTTTATGTTGCCATCATTTTGTATGCACTGATGGAACCAACTGTGCTTTTAAATGGTAGTAATTAATTTTTGGTGCCTTAAAAGGATAATAAAATAATAATAAAATCTAACCAACACTTACTCAAAGACGTATCTAAAGCCCTTCAAGTGTTTTAGTGTATATTTAACCATGCATTAGCTTCTACCAGTTTGAGAGGACTCATCTTTGTATTCTATTTGTAGTAAAGAAGTCAGCCAAAACATACAAACGTTTGACCTGATTTAAGTGTCCCTTACCAACAGACTTATGAGCAGTTGCCTAAGCAGCTGTCTAAGCTGTTGGGATCCAGTCTTGCCAGATCTCTGGAGCTCTTCCCTTAAAACTGTCTTATTCCCTGATGCTTACCAAAACTTTACAGTGCTTCACTGATACACTGAAATCACTACCTATTATACCAGTCAATACTGTCTTGGATTTTTTAAAAATTAAGCTTAATGCTAAGCTGCCTACCTCTGCCCAATCTATTTTGTACTTGGATTATTGGATACACCAATGAAGAACAATCCTTTTGCTTTTTATTTGTATAGTCCATTGTACAGCAAATTCCTTGTTCCTGACTAGAACCCCTATTTATGCTGTGTTGGAAGGGACTCACAAGGATCATTGAGTCTGACTCCTGGCCCTGCACAGGACCATCGCAAAGAGTCACACCATGTGCCTGAGAGTATTATCCAAACACTTCTTGAGCTTTGTCAGGGTTGGTGCTGTGACAACTTCCCTGGGAAACCTGTTCTAGTGCCCAACGACCCTCTAGGAGAAGAACCCCTTTTTCATATCCAACCTAAACCTCCCTGACACAACTTCAGGCCATTCCCCTGGTTTCTGTCTGTCACTGGTCACCACAGAGAAGAGACCAGCGCCTTCCTCTCCTCTTCCCCTCACAAGGAAGTTGTAACTGCAATGAGGTCTCCCCTCAGTCTCCTCCAGACTGAACAGACAAAGTGCCCTCAGCCGTTCCTCACACGGCTTCCCCTCAAGGCCCTTCACAATCTTCGTTGCCCTCCTTTGGACACCCTCTAGTAGCTTAATATCTTTCTTATATTGTGGCACCCAAAACTGCACACAATATTCAAGGTGAGGCTGCCCCAGTGCAGAGCAGAGCAGGAAAATCCCCTCCCTCAACCACCTGGCGATGCTTTGCCTGATGCCCCCCCAGGACACAGTTGGCCCTCCTGGCTGCCAGGGCACTGCCGAGTCAACTTGCCATCAACCAGGACCCCCAAGTCCCTTTCCATGGCACTGCTTTCCAGTATTTCATTCCCCAGTCTGTATGGACATCTGAGGTTGCCCCACCCCAGATGCAGAATCCGGCACTTCCCTTTGTTGAACTTCATGTGGTTGATGATTGCTCAGCCCTCTCATTTGTCCAGGTCTCTCTGCAGGGCCTTTGAGGGAGTCAACAGCTCCTCCCAGTTTTGTGTCGTCTGCAGACTTGCTTAGTATTCCTTCTAGTCCTGCATCCAAATCATTTATGAAGATATTGAAGAGCACAGGGCCCAAGATGGAGCCCTGTGGAAACCCAGTAGTGACAGGTCACCAGTCTGATGTTACCCCATTCACTATTACCCTCTGTGCTTGAGCTGTGAGCCGATTTATATCAGTAATACAAATATAATAAGAAGAAAGCTTTTCACTGAGGACAGCAGAAAATGTCCACTGTATTGAATTCAACTGAGTTGTATGACTGAAGGTCTAAGGGGCTTAAACCTAGATTTCTACAGTAAAAGTATTTGTATATCCACCCAAAGATGAAATTATGAATACATCTGCTTTGCTTGAAATAATGAAAAATCTCATTAAGAAAGTGTGCTTAACATTCCACAAGTCAATGCTGTTTATTACAGTGTTATCACACACATGCAGCCATTTGTTATAGAATAAACAAAATGATTTTTTTTGTGTTTCACTGGGTCAAAAAGCATGGGCAAAGATGTGCTGCAATTCATTACAATGTCACTGGAAAAGCTTTCATAATAATGAAGCTTCCTTTCTGGATTTATAATCAAATCACATTGATGTCAGAGAGCTCATCTAATTAGTTAGTTTTCATTGACTTAAATATATGTTTATATTTCTTAGTTGTTGTTGTCAGCTTTACAACAGTGTTTTTCATTAAAGGTTGGCAAAAAGTATTTAACCATATCTTAAGTGAACTCATCTGCACAGTTCTGGTTGCTGGGATATTCTGCTAAAATCTCTTGATTCTTCAGAACAGTTTTGTGTATGATAGACCCTACTTCCCCATCTTTATGCAGCTGTACACAAGATTGAATCAAAATCAAGATGGGAAGGCTTGCAGAATGAATCAGCAAACAAGTGTTTCTAAAATAAAAACAATATCTGTCACAGGTTTCCTGATGATATGAGAAGTATAACACATTGTAGTGAGCCTACCATTGAACATGTGGAAGGAGAAATACAGAACACAAACATACAAAAATCCAGTAAAATTGTAAAGTCTTTCGTAGTATCAGTTCTACAGATCACATTATTTCTCAAGGCCAGAGACAGAATCTCATAATGTGATCCTTTTCCAAACAAAACAGGTGTCCAAGTAAAAGACAGTTGTGCTTTTCACCACAGTTTTTAAGGAGATTATTGATTTTGTATGTGTCCATTTAAGTGTGTCTATTTGAGATGTGTTAGGATGGTTTTTTTAGAACTATTGAACACCCATAATTGACTGTTGAGGTCATTATCATTCTTGGTGTTCATTTTAGCTCATACAGTTAATAATCTTAAGAATACCCAGTTTGTCATTTTCTTGTTCAGCAGTTCTATTCTCTATACCATATTAACAAAGACATATAAAAATCTTTTCTCTCTTCAACTCACTATCCATGGAGTTTGCTCTGGAGTGGTCTAGCATGATGTTCTGGAAGTTGTTTGAGATATATGCAACACATATAGGGTGTTCCTGCATCAGTATATTCTAGCATCATCATTTTGGCAGCTCCTCCAGTACAAAGTCAGTTCTAATTTATTCCTAACATCTTTATATTGGAATCTCAGAAGTTTCATCCTCCACGCTTCTGCAGTCTCCTGACACATAGTTTTGCACATCTGGTTGTCTTTCTGTTATTTGCTTTGGAAAGACTCTTTCCAATTCAAGCTAAATATGGAATAAAATATTTTGCTTTAAATGCTTATTCTTTCTCTTTCTCTGTGGTTAGCCTGCACATTTGGTAACATTTTAGAACCTTCTATTTACCTTTCAAGCCATTTCAGAACACCTCAATATTTTTACTCTTATTTTAGAACCTTCAGAAAATAAGAACTTCTTTCCTGCATTCACATACAAAGCAACAGCAAAGAGAACTTAGCTGTAGTTTTAAAAACTCAGAACACTGAGGTTTGATTACTATTCTGAAAGAAGTCCTTTAAGAAGGGAAATCTCAGGAACATTTACCTTTGTGCACCACAGTACAGTGCAGAGATCTTTGGCATACTGATGACAGAATCTGCAGATTCACTTTTAGCTCTCTAGGGAGTCTTATGAAGTTCAGATGCAGTAGTCCATGGTTCAGTTTCTTGCTGGAATGGATTCTCCACAAGTAGGGATAATCCTTCATTTGATGCTTACTCACTTGGATATGTTTCTGTATTCCATACTGGCCATATCAGGTTTTGCAATGCTTATTTATTTTTGCCAGAACACATTGCTGCATTAGCTGGTATTATTACCCTTACACGGTTGAGATGGCACTTTTCTTCTATGATCTTCTTTTCATTAGCTTAAAATAACTTTTTAAAGCAATTATCTCTAGGTTAATACTTCTCAGGCTTGTTCTCAGGCTAACAGTTACATTTTTACCATTTTTAGTTGGAAGAGAATGCACTCAGTAGTTTTAGAGGATCAGGCTTTCAAATATATACAGATACAGTTGGCAAATGCAATAGTTCCTTATTTCCATTCATTTAATTCTTATCCTCCTAACTATAAGTAAGTATGATATAGTAACATCTCAAATACCACTTCCAATCTTTTTTGTTTTGAAGTTCCTCCCGAAGTTTGTTTTTGTTAAGTTGTACGGTATTTAGAGCATCTTTTGACTTGACTCACTATCTGAATTCATTAAATAAAACTAGTAATAACCTCAATATCTTTACTATATGAACTGTGCATGTTAACATACATACTACATGCATGTATTGATACATTACCTCAATTACATAATTTTAATTTATATTATAATAATAAATAGATGGTCTTATATCTCAAAATATAGCTTAATTACATAACAGAGATGTTAATATTGTAATTTTAAATCTGTAAAAGCTATATAACTAGGTAAGATTTCAAAAGAATATTTTGTTCTCTAGGTAAATACAGCACAGTGTGGCATAATGTATAACATGACATTTTATGACATCATGGTCATATATATATAAACACACACACACATATATATAAAAACCAGTAACACAGTTTAAAGAAAGAGGTTATTGCACCTGAAAGACAGCAGATGAAGATGGGAGACATGGAAAAATTACCTTTATGCAAACCTTATGCTGTACCACCCGGCAGCTCGGGTCACGAACCCTTCAGCCACCACCGAACCTCCTGTGAACAATGGAACATTCAAAACAGATACAAATCAGAACAAACCACAGATTTTTGCATTAAATATTGCTTAATCTTCCTAATAATTATATTTTTTGTTATCCACTATTACTAAACTTCAGTTGGCTAAGAAAATTCTAAAAGCATTTCCAATATTTTCTTAGCAGGCGCTGAATCAGAACTTTCAATTGCTACAGCACCATCTAAAAAGTGTATTTAAAAGGTATTTCAGTCCAAGGCCTGACAGAGCAATTTCTAATCACTCAGCTTCTTACCACCAGCACTATTCTTCCCAGTGCAGAAACAATTCATAATACACAGAGTCACACCAGCATTCTGTTAAGTCCTACATGCTTCAGCAAATAAAACAAGGTGATTTGACAATCTCAGATGTAGCTCACTCTTTTTGGATAAATAAAAAGCCAGTAAATTTAAGCATTTCTTTTCATTTTACACAACCTTGTGGAATTTATTTTAATAAAATGATCTTGGAAATCTAATTGATCAGTTTCCATCAGTAATTTAGAGATAGATTTTCAAAGGCATGAAAATCTGATAAGAATGCATCTAATTCATTTTCAGAAGGAGCTGAGGACTTGATCCTGCATTTACTGCAGCTGGCACTGAAATTTTCATTGATTTAAATAAGAACAGGTTCATACCTGCAGAGACTAGCTGCTATTTATGCCTTTCACACTATCCCTTCCATAGTTAGAGATTTCTTCCCATTTTTTGTACAAATAACCTACACACTTGATGTGAAATGAAACCTCTAAGAGCATATATTCATGTCAAAACAAAAGAAAAAAGGAAATAATGATTTTGTACATACACTCAGTGCAATTCACCTTATATTACAAAAAAAAAAAAAATAACAAATCAAAAAACAACAAACCAAAAAACAAGTCACATTTCCAAAGGTAATGGAAGTTTTAACACTTAAGAGTGAACACATTGCAACTGCCCCTCAATTTTATGTTGCCTCTCTTCCCTGAAGTCAATGGCATTATTTATGAGTAAAACAACGTTGAATACCTAGCTGTTTAGAGGCCTACAAGTTTGAGTAACTATACACAGAACTATTGCTTTACTGCTGCAAGTGAGGAAAATGTTATGAAACATTCTATCAATAAATGAAACACTGTGATCTTATTCTGTTTTATGTAGTAAAGAAACGCAACTGAGTGTTTTAAAAGTATTCCTATGTAGGGAATATCTGGCCTTTCAGAGAATTGTCTCACTGACATATGCAAAGATCAGAAAGGGGTGATAGTGTTAGCATTCCAAATTCATCTATATGAAACAAGAAGATAATTAGGTGTAAAAAATGCATAGTCATGCTCAAGGCAGCAAAGGATCACTTTCATCTAAAGGCAAGTGGAGTGTGCACGGTATCATCTGATCCAAAGGAGTGACCTCCTTGAATCAAATGCAAAACACCTATTCCTGTTGCAGATGGAGTTTTCCAGGACAAAGTGTTCAATAGAAAGATTACATTTCCAGTGGGGCAGAAAGGTATTTGCCAGTGTCTCATTACAGCTTTGATACAAACACCTTGGATTTCAATTAGCTTTGAGATAGAACAGCAATAATCCAGCATTGAAACTATAGAAAAATCTTTGTTTCTTACGTCATTATATGTGGATTTTTGTTTCATTTGCAATAAGATATTGCAAGATTTCCAAAAGAAATAAATAGAAGGAAATAACATTCCATTCATTTTAATGGCAGAGATATCACTTAGTGATGTCTGTCTGATAACTTTGCACTAGGAGGCGAGGGTGACATAATTTACATTTTTTCCAGCATAAATGAAAAGTGCTGAATTCCTTGAACCGTAAGTGTCCCATCAGTTCTACCCTCACTGTCCCACCTCCTATTATTAACATACCATATCCACTCTGATGCTTTTGATCCCTTTCTATGAAAAGTAATTTGCCTTCTCAATGGAAATAAGTATGAAATTTGCTCTAGTACATTTCAGGAGTTCAAACAATGGCCCACAGAAATTTCCACCCTGTGGAGATAATCTTTTAACCTCACAAATTTAGACTTTGCAGTCATTTAAAATGCTTACTCCTAAATATTATTTGATATTTAAGAAAACTAGTATGTTCTTCTGAATCGATCATGGAGCTAGGAGATTGAAGGGCAATTCTTAATCGTCACTTGAGTATCTGTGACTGATTTTGAATTAACTCCTGTAAAACTGGATAGTATTTGCCATCCTTACTTTAGACCTGCATCACAAGGGTAACTGTCACTTTCTGATATGTGGCAGGAAGAAAAGCTCAAAAACCACTCAGGTATGATTCAGTTATTGATTTGTTTGTTAGTAACGAAGTTATGATCTACGCCATGCAGATATGATTTTAGTAACACTCCAAATTACATATGATGCCTTCCATTCAAAAGGCTTCCTTTCAAATATCAAATCACATAGCTTTAGCAGTAAGAAATATTGCTATTGAAATAAATATGGTTAATTTGACACACTAAACAACTGAGACTAAGAAAAAATAAAGATAGGTCTGTAACCTAGTAACCAGTGGCAAAAACTACTGGTGGCAAAACACCACCTTTCCTCCTGTGACACCAAGGTGAAATTCAAGACCTGACTGCAGTCACTTGCCCCCACAATTCCAGAGCAGGGGTAAGAGCTGCGAAAATGGTCCTTTTAAGAGGAATTGTTCTATGAACTAGCCACAAGGTTTTTTCTCTCGGAGAAAGAAACGCTACAAAATGTTAGATTTATCACTAAACGTAAAAATGAAAACCAGGAAATTATAAAATCTCATGGATCTGTATTTTTTACTTTCTTTTGGACTCTAATTGGCCGTCAAAATAAATCACAACAGCTGATCAGTAACTGGCTGTGGATATATACAATGAATTTAAGCCAGCCTCTATAATGGGTTTTTTGCCTCACTTCTGAATTGCAGCCATCTTTAGGGGAATGAATGCAGGAAAGACATACTTCCTCTGACTGTAATACCAGCTGTAAATACATTTTGCTCATAAAAACAGATCTGCAAATGTGTTAGAGCTTGGTAGCATTACTGGCATACACAATACTAACAAAACCAGTGCTGTTTACTTTTTGTCATAGCGCTATAAAAAAATTTAACAGGCTGGATGGTGCTTTGTGTATGTTATGCAGAACAAGAAATGCCAAATTATACGTGTAGATTTTTTCCAGAAGAATATTTGAACATATTCTATTTACTGTAAAATAAGTGCAAGTCCCCAACTATAAACATATATTTATTATTATTTTAAAAAGTTTTATTTTTATAAGTTTTTTTCTGCAAGTATAATGTAATTGAAGAATTTAATTTTTTCAAATTATTTATTTTTTGCAGAGTAGTAGATTTTGATTGTAAACTTTTAAAGCCACAGAAAAGTCCAGATGGCTGTTTCACAAGATGTTCCATGAGAAAAACTATATGAGTTGGTTGTTTTTTCTTTCTGTACTCACAGCACTCTCAGAATACAGACTTGAAAAGGACATCAGAGATCTAATCTGCTTTAGCAGAATAAGTGTTCTTTAACATGTAATAGCTGTCTAATCTCCTGTTAAAAATTCCAGATAGAAGAGGTTCCAGTAGCAAATTTAACAAAACAACACCACAAACTGCTTTCTCTAAGACAAACAGGCTCATTTCTTATAAAACTTTTTCTGACAGGAACAACAGATTTGACTCAACAGAAATCTGAGTACTAACAGCCATCAAGACCCGTGGTGATGATGCCTATGTTTAAAAGCAGTTATTGAATAAATATTTGCCAGCAGTACAGTAGCCACTTATACACACACATACCAGCAAAATATACTTTATTTGTTGAAAATTGCATACTTCTCTCAGCCTTTAAAGAACTGAAAGAAACAGCTGTTTAGATTTCTACCATTAGAAAACGTGTGCATTTCACTGTTTTATGGTTTTCTGGAGTCTCAAAATCACATGTCATGGGAAAGATGTACACTTACTTAGGTCTCTACAAGTTCACACATATATATTCCATTTACAAGCCTTACAAAAGGCCTTTTGCAGGTTTATTCTCTTTCTCTGTCTGAAAACATGTGCACTAATGCAGTCAAAGGCATTGAAAGATGTACCAGTCAAACCTAAGCGGATTCCTTTTGTTCAAAACGTTATTTTTTAAACTAAACTACTTGCACAGATCAGACTATCTCAGAAGAAAACATAAACCAAAACACTTGTCAAATAGATTAAATAACAGGATACTAATGTAACCAAATTTAGGTCAAGCAAAGTAGAAAGAAAAAATTAATCCTGATTAAAAAATATAATGAACAGTTTAATACGATATGACGTGCTTGTCTAGAAAACATGTCTATAAATTAAAAAAAGGAAATCCGGTTTGAGAATAAAACATTAAAATAAAATTAGTCCTACGCTAGCAAGTAGATGGGTTTAGCTATCCAAATTATGTTTAGGAATTTTATGGTTTGAATTTAAAATTTTTTCTGTTAATTTTTTCATAGGAACCCACACAGCAAGTTTCTTAGCAAAGATACAGAAAAGGAACAAATTCTATCTTTACTTACAATTCTGTCAGCAGTAAAATGACTCCATGGCACCAGTCTTTATCAAATAGAATTGACTGATGCTGTGAATCAGTGACTCAACTAATTCTCATAACAATGTGAAAAGATTAAAATTTAACTGTTCCAGTTAACAGTTACAGCAGAATAAATATTACTTCATGATAAGAATAGAATATCAGAAGCTAGGAATCCTAAATGCTAATCTCTGTGGTCTTGTCACTTTGTCTTTTTAAGGCTCTTATTTCATTTGTAAATAATAATTAAGTACTTGATCTGGCAATTATTTAACATTTCCAGAATGAGATAATTTGATGTCACTGGATGAAAAGTGCATTCACTTTAAGTAAAATGTAGTATTTTAGTGTCCCTTAGTTCATAATAATTCTAGTTTAGAATATATTTTATGATTATATAAGATATCCCTTTTGCTTACACACAGAAAAATAATTAAATCCTAATGCAAAGTTAAATAAAGTCCCTGAAAAAAGTTAACACTTTCTCTCTCCTATTTATCCTATTACCTTTTTGGCTAGCAACACTAACTAATTCATACAAAAGGAACTCTGATATCATCTTAACGAATGTTCAAACATACTCTCCCCTCTCAACAAAACTTCCCCAAAGATTAACGGGAAAGAGGTTCTCAAGCTGAGGGTAGACTGTAGGCTGGCATACAACATACTTTAAAACCTTTCCTTTGCTCTGATCTCTTGGTAGTTCTCATATTCTCTCATAAAACCAGAGCTAGTGCAGGTTTTGGTGCGTTACAGGATCCCTTAGGAAGCTGCCATTATCTCCTCTCTTAACCACATAATAGAAAAAAAAAGAAGAGAGTACCATACACAGACCACACTGAGGAAGGAGAACTTGGAATTTTTCAACTGGTAACCTTATTTTCTGTAATCTTCAAAAAGGACCCATTCACCACCACCTTATTGTGATACAACAGGAAAAAAATATGTCCATCTAGCAGGAATAGGGAAGGGGAAAGAAACTTATATTAGCAATGCGGCAAATTTTCTAAGCAAAAGCACAGACTAACAAACGATATTAGAAAAGTTATATATTTATATCATGAAATAAAATCTTCCTGATTATTTCAATTCCAGTAAGTCTGTAGGAGGGACTTTTAATTGCCCTGAAATATGAGGGGGAAAAAAGGGAGCCTCAGTGGAGAAAGGTAGGCCAGCTGCCTTTTCCTGGACTCCTGTACTTCCTGAGAGGACAGCACAGCACTGGCAGTTACTTGGGGAAGGAACTACCCTCTCCAGCACAGATCTTGGGCTCATGCTCCAGAGCAAATCACTGTTCCTCAGCAGCACAAGGAGGTGACAGAGCAAGATGATGGCCCAGTTGCCTTTGCTCTCTACCCTTATGATTCAGGCAGCAGAGGAGTCTAATGTTCTCCAAAAAAACCAAAAGTTAGAGACTCTTCTGAATCAAATGGTATTTTCCTCTGCTTAGTCTGGATTCCTGCTCACCTGCAGAGAGACCTGATGCACCTTTATCATTCTTTTACATGTCTCAAAATAACTTCTCAGTAATACACTAGTTCTGTTTGCATGGGTACACAATCACTGTGAACTCTGGTGTTCGTGTCTTAACCAAGCTGTGACCATCCAAGAACCAATGCACAGGATGGGTGTATAAAATCCCCTATAAGCTGTTTTCCCAGTGCTGGCTGCTGAAAGAGTTCACCTCACAGTGTAACTCATCCACATTCTTACAGGCCATTATAAAATTGGGGTTTGCTACAACGAAAAGATGCCACCACCGGGAAGCTGAGGCTGGAAGAAAACACTCACTTGTAAACAGCTACAACCTGTGTGCTTTCTCCAGCCTGTCCTCCCACCACAGACCTCACGCCTTCCAGCTGATCCAAAATGTACCAGCTTACTTAAACTGAAACTGCTGTTACTTGTGAGATCCATGACTGCTAAGGCCCCACAAATTTATTTGTGTAGAGTTAGTACTCTGTCGGTGTTTGTGTCACTGCTAAACTGACTCGGGTAGAGTTATTTGAAAACTACAGCTATCACTTACAAAGAAAAAGGGGGATGTCAGTGCTGCAAAAATTAGCTATTCTATTTTCTGTGTTCTAAAATGAAGGACTAATGTGAAAAATAATAACATGACCTTTAGCATATATATGTAGGTTCAAGACCAAGAAATACACTTCAGTATTGAAGATCAATTACCAAAAAGCAATTGGCTAAATTAATTAGAAATGTGAGATATCTGGTTCCTACATTCATAATTTTAAATGTAAACTTAAAAAATATTACTGGAAAGCATCAAATGCAAAATTAATATTTTATAGCCAGACAAGAAATATAGTAAAATACAGACATAAAACATAGATTCCTGTTCTGAGGTGCACACATTCCTTTAAGTGGTATTAGAAAATTCTGGCAAACAAATCCAAGGACGACAGATGTCAGTGGAAGTTCATTACTATCATCTTCATATTTCCATCTCTGGAGAAAGATGCAACCTCTTGTCTTGCACATCATACAATTTTCTTTGACACTTTCACTTAACAGTTTCTCTGAATGGTAACACCCATACTCTCACAAAACGTATGGAGGTTATTCAATGATCAGAAGCCATCTAGACAACAGACAGTTTCTCTAAATTTTCTTAAGGTACAGTGTGAACCCTGACTCACATGGAAGACAGTAAATAATCAACACTGATTCCTGCAGCAATTGAAGTTCTCCTGGCAGCTCTCCCAGCAAAGTACCAACCAACCTGTTCAGTTTATGATACCTAGCAGAATTGCAGCCTGACAAAGGCTGACTGCAAACATGGCCTTTTTCCAGTGCTTGTCAGGACGAGTTCAAAAGATATACTCACCAGGCATAGCTATTTGTAGATCCAGTGATTGCAAATAAATTATTCCAATTTGCAATAGTAGCAAATTTAACCTGCTATGGAGTTAATAGTTACTGCTTCCAAAAGCTTCGTTTTGTAGGGTGTTGCAAGAATCATCGATATTAATTCTGCCTTGGAAAGCACAGCTCAGGAAGATCAGCAGGCTGAGGTGTCACGCACTTCAGTGAGATACATTCAGCAGCACCAGCCCAGCAGTTGGAAAAACAGGCGGAAGATTTTGATACAGGTTTCCACAGGACGCAAGCGACAATATACTTATTAATTTAGGAGGAGCGGGGAAGAGCAACGGCACTTGCTACCAGTTTGTAGCTGTACCCGAACGAGGTGTAACTTCACTCCCGCACGACGCCCGTGAGGGACAGCGCCGTGTCCCCGGGACAGCCCAAGGCCACGGCGGGACACCCCGCACGGCACCCTCTGCGCGGGCCATTTGTCCCTCGCCTGACGCTCAGGGCACAGCAGGCGTTCACAGCTCTCATCCCCAGCTCACTGGAGTGATTACGGCACTGGCCCTACGCCTGGCCCGCAGAGAAAACCCTACAGTTCAACCAGCGCCCGCAGCGACACGATCCGTATCACTGATCGGCAAGGCGGAGTCTGAGGCGGCTGGGCTAAGGTACATCCTCACTGACGGGGGTGGGCTGAGGCGGCTGGGCTAAGGTACATCCTCACTGACGGGGGTGGGCTGAGGTGGCTGGGCTAAGACAGATCCTCACTGACGGGGGTGGGCTGAGGCGGTTGATCCCTCCTTGCCCCGGGACCCAACCCCGACGGAGAGCTCGTAGCCCCGCCCAGTGGATCCCGCCCGGGCGCCTCGGCCGCCGCACGCGCTCCCCGCCGCCGAGCGTCCGCGCCCCAGAAGGACTACAGCTCCCTTCATGCAACGCGCGACGGCGTCACGCTCCCTCGCGGCGGGGCGCCGGCGTCGAGTCACGCCCGGCGGCGCGCGCTGCATGCCGGGCGTCGTTGTTCTCCGAGCGTCTTCTCCAGCCCCGCCCCGCGGGAGGGGCGCGGTGCCGGGCCCGGGAAGCGCCCCGTCCCCGCCTCTCTTCGCTCTCGTTCCCCGTGTAAATTGGTTTTGGGTCCCTCGCTGAGTAGCGCCTTAGGTGTCTTCCTGAACAGGTCTCCGTGTTCTTCCGCAGTTCTCGTAAGTTCCTGCGCATCCCGCAACGCAGTTAGAGCCGGTTTGTCCTTCGGCGCTCGCCGTAGGCCGCCGCCCTCCCGCTGCCGGCGCCTTTGTGCGGCGGCGGAAGGGGCGCAGGGGCGGCGGAGCGGGACCGGAGCGGCGCAGGAGGCACCGGCAGGTGCGGGGGCCGAGTGGCGCTCGGGCCGCTGCTGCCCACGGGGAGTGAACGCTCCTTCCCTGGGGCTCGCCCTGCGGAGCGAGGGCCGGGCGGCAGGGTGGGGCTGGGGGCGGCCTGGCCGGGGCTCCCTGAGGGGGAGAGACCGGGGAGTGCCGCCGCCTCCTGGGCCGCGGGTGTGGGGGAGGACCCTGCCGGGGCTGCCGGGCGCGCTCCCCGGTGCGGCCCCCATGGGGTTTGGGATGGGGTCTTTGGTTCTGGCGGCACCAGGTTCGTGCCGCTGTCAGCCCCGGGCGGGGCGGGGCGGGGCGGGCGCCCCTCTCGCTCCTCGGGAATCCCTTCCCTAGGCGGGCGGGGCGGGGACCCGCGGTGTGACAACGCGCCTTCCTGGTGCTGTGCCAAAGTGACACGGAATGCCATTCAAGAAAGCCAACCGTAGAGTATTTATTTATTGGTACTTAAATGTTTAAGTACTGGTAGACGTATGAGGCTTGCAGCATTTTGCATTCTTGTCTGTGCTTAGGTGTGCAATGCAAACGCAGGTATTCTTAATTTTGAATAAGTGCGTAGTTATATTACTAATGCATAATCCTGTGTCCTCGGTGTCAAGCTTAGTGTAAAAAGCATTTATTGTGGAACCACTCAGTTGTTGTAGAACCACTTCTACATTTTCTTTTCAGACTTAGGTTTGCTTAAAAGCGGTAAAATTAGGCTGGTCTCCCTTTAGACCATTCACACAGTTTTTCATACCTGTGTTCTAAATCTTTGTTAAGTTCTAAGTTTGGGAGTTTCCCACCTTTTGTTGTTGACCTTCTCATCTGTATCTGAGTTAGTTATATAGCAAAACTTTCTGTAGCATTTTTGTCTTTAAAAGATCCACCAATTTCTTAACAGTGTACAAAAAGTTTGGGGACAAAAATTGATAATACACATATTTTATAGTTTTCTTTGACCATCACACTTGTACTTACATTGTCTTGTAGTTTATAGTAATGCTACTAAATCTCTTAATAAATATTTTGAATCATACAGTATGTAGAAGTATATATAGTTTACATACTAAGTTATAGTGTGCCGATATTTAGCTGTTGAAGTGAAAAGTGAAAGATAAATACTGTCTTGGTGCTCTCCTTGCTGTTTTCAGTCTCAGTTGGCTCTGTAGCTGTACAGAATCCTATGGGAAAATCAAATACTCCCATCTTCAGTACCTAATGTTTCTTTCAAAGTAGTTCCTTCAAACAGCATCAGAACTACCTTAAGAATGGATGCTGTCACCATGTCATAGTTCTGTCTGTTTTAAATCAATCCCTTGAGAATGTGTTAAGTGAAAGAAAAAAGGAAATAGGAATGTGATTTTTTTCTTCCAATTATTAGTGACTTTTCAGGCTTCTGGTCGTGGTAAGCTAGTGTAATTTCTTTAAGGATAGCTTCTTTAAAGGAAAGCTGCTCTCTTAAAAAAAACTCAGCAAACGAAAAACCCCAAACAACCAAAACAAAACCCAAACAGTGATGTGATTTCTGTTGATCAGCATTTCAGCCATGTCGGACAAAAGTGAGCTGAAGGCGGAGTTGGAGCGCAAGAAGCAGCGATTGGCTCAAATCAGAGAGGAGAAGAAGAGAAAGGAGGAGGAGAGAAAGAAAAAAGAAGTAAGAAATAATTTTCGCTTTGAAGTTTGGCTTTGCATATGTAACTTGCCCAAAATTTAAGGTTAGGTTCACATGATCATTTGCTACGTGTAGTTCAGGGAGTGTCTGTTTAATGGCTGGTGCCAGTACAAATGTAGTATTTCCACTGTCTGAGGAGAGGAAACAGCTGCTGTTTTCTTTAGAATTGTCCATACGATGTTATGTATTAATTCTGGGGTTTTTTAATCCTACACTGGTATAAAGTTCTGATTTCTAAAACTACTTTTGTGCATGTAACATCATTAATCAAATCACTGTAAACTATTACCTGAAAGCTCTGCTTAATAAGTTGGAGTGGTGTTAACTTATTTCTGAAGTACAGTCCACAGGATGTCTATATGAGTTGTCTGACTGTCAGTATTATCATGGTACAAATACTGTGCTATGGTCTTGTGCTCTTTGACCCATCCATAGGGTGAATTTTAAAGTCAGTACTCAGGATGCATATAGTACTTGTGTGTTAGACTTGGTTTGTTAACATTGTCTTCTGGATTTCTGTCTCCTAAAAGATGTGACAATCAGAGATTTATTGCTATTTCTCCTGAATGCGGATTATGCCTTATAAAAGAAACTTTTGCTGTAATGTTTTGGTGTTTGGGGATACTTTTTCAAGACTTCTTTGTGTTTTGGTTATAATCTGGTTGGTGTTCTAAATTAGGATATGACTGAAGACTGGACAGCTGCCAACTACATGATTCAGACAAAAAGGAGAGGGAAATATCTCAAATCATGTTCTAATGATCTTGTACTAATGTATTGCCTGTATCTGAGATTCCACATGTGATACAATAGCTTAGCAGCTGAGAACTTGCTCTAAAATTTGGGAATTGCTTTTTAAAAAAGCAGTTAAATGATTGTGGAAAGATACAGAGTGTAGTAGAGCTTGCCTTATGTCTAAATTAAAGAGGAGGAGGTGTAGGTTTTTGAGTGGGTTTTTTTAAAATCTAGCAGATAATAACACAACTTAAAGATAACTACTTTTCCTTGATACAGTCATTGTAATTTCAAAATTGTAACAATATGACAATGTCTCTAAAACACTTTCATACACAGATACAGATTATTGTGTCTTCAGTCTTTGCATTTTACAGTGCTTAGCATTAGCGTAAAAAAAAGGTATTCTTAATCTTATGAAGTGTTATTCATTGTGGCAAACTTTTTGGATGTTTATATATGTCTTTTAAAGACAGTACCAAAGCTACAGAACTTTGTTATTCCTGTCTACTTTATCTACAAAAAGGACCATCAGAATTACTGGAGTCAAATACTTAACCCGTATGATGATAGGTTTCAGAAGAACAAAGAAGTCCTATGAGGTCTCAAAATAAATGAAAGGTTAAATGCTGTTAAATGCTATAACTTAATTATTGAATCACTTTTAGACTGACCAGAAGAAAGAAGTTCTTCCTGTACAAGAAGAATCTGATCTTGAAAAGAAGAGAAGAGAAGCTGAAGCATTACTTCAGAGCATGGGGTTAACACCTGACTCTCCCGTTGGTAGGAATGTTAATATTTGTTTGAGATGAATGTTTGAGATTTTTTTGTTTGTTTTTTTGGGGGGGGGGGGTGTTGGTGGTGGTTTTTTGTGGTGGTGGTTTGTTTGTTTGTTTTGGTTAGGGTTGAGGTATTTACATATCTAAAATAAAAATTCTCTGGCCACTTTTTTGGGGGAGTGTACATGTCTGGTTTTAATACTAATTTGTCCTCATGGTCTTTGGTATAAATACCAAGTGATGTGCTTCAGTACACATTACATAACACTCTTTTGTAAAATACGTGTTTTACCCTTAGTGTGTTATTTGAAGTATATTAGTTAAAATATATAAATATCATGTATGTGTTTTATCCCCCCCCCCTATTTTTCCTGCACATTATTCTACTGTACTTTTTCTCCTTACTCTTTTTCATAATGCCAAATTTTAGTGCCAGTATTTTTGTTTGGAGTTGGCGTGTTTCCTTTCTGTATCTTTTACACCCTTGTTTTTCTTATGTCATTTACCTGACTGACTTTGATGGAGCATTAGCAAGGCTGAGTATAAAAATTAACTAGCAAGGGTGATGACTGATACCTGTGCAGCATATTGGTTGTTGATTTTTAC